GTACTGGAAGAATAAAGGTATTAACTATCTGGATCATTTATTTGAAGGTACGGAGTTTATCACATTTGCTAGAAAAATAGTCAATATGGCATTAACAAAAATAAATTCTTAGAATATGAACAAATTAAATATATAATTAGAAACAAATTTAAGCATATTGAAGGAGGTTTACAAATTCCAACAATTTTTTTTCAGAGTTTCTAGAGTTATACATTTGTCTCGGTAACCGCAGCCAGACAGCTCAGCAGCCGGTGAGAGAGGTTTACATCTTTTTAATGACTTGGAATCACTGCGGCACCGCAACGGTAAGACCGGAGTCGGTGTGAGCCGGGGGTTATACAACAACTCCCAATACACACACTCTCCCTTGGAACTATCCCACCCCTACATAAAGAACTTTCTCACGCGAACCTTTGGAGGAAAACAACTTGAGTTCATCAAAGCCGTTCCCTGTTAGGTTCATATATCTTTCACTGGCCAGATGGATCTTCTCAAAACAGCAGTCCTACCCTTCATGCCATGAAGGAGGCTGTGTAACTCATTCTTATCGCTCATGACCTTCGTTTGGAGTCTGTGAGGCTAAGAACAGACATACCTCCATATTTTTTTTTCCTTCATGGCATCATCAGCAGATCAGCCAAAACCCTGAATTGCTGTGAGTAGGCAGGCATGAGGACGTGCAGCGTCACAGCCACTGTGCACTGCTCCACTGTGAACATTGTGCACTGAGTGCCTGATAGAGAAGATATAGTGCTAGAAGCTGAACTAGCTCATCATACTTGCTACCATCCATTGCCCTTCTATGTACCACTGACAAAATATGGCAGACTGAAAGATATCAGGATAAATATTCAATAACATGACTGCATATGAGGGCACAGTGCTGGATCTTACAGAATCACTCACCTCTTGTCACAGCTGGTTTTCTCTTTTCTTGTTTGCTTGTGCGGTTTATAATCTGGGTCTGAGTCCTCGTTGCCTTCTGAACCCCTATCTTCATCTCCGCTGAAGTCCACGCTGCTCTCAGTGTTTTCCTCCTCTGTTTGGAAGTCCTGTTGTTGGGATGTTGCGCTTGAGAAAATGTTCCCCTTGCCTCCTGGTGCACTTTGACCAATGCTGCATAAGAGGAACAAAACAGTGTTGTTCATAGCAACCGTTTTAACACGTCTTAAAGACTCACCCTGAGTCCTTTGCAAGTACTCGAGGTGAGTTGATGACAGAATCTGAAGGGGGTGCGGTTGACGTTTTTACTGCGCTGTGCCTACGCAAATAAGGAGGTAAATGTGTTTAATATGACTGTATCCACGGCTGTTACACTTATCAAAACTCAGCTTATCAGCCTAAATGTAAAGCAGTTGACGGAGACCTTAGGGAGGGAGCTCAGATGACAAATACAAGTGTAGCTGCATAGATTTCAGAGTAGCAGCCTGCTCTGCCAGATATATATACACACATATATATAAATATATACAGTACAGACCAAAAGTTTGGACACACCTTCTCTTCCTCACCGTCTTATATAAAATAAACTGAATTGTTTGTGATCAGCGGCAAAGGCAGAAGAGTAGAAAAACATCCATCAATTTAGAGAAGTTAAATGGCAAGGGAAGGAAGGTTAGCATTTCTCTCCTACCATGTTACTGCAATGTATTTTTTCTACTTTCTTTTATTGTTGTTTTTCATGTACAGCACTTTGTATTGTCTTGCTACTGTCTTGCTACTAAAATTTGCTCCAAGGTGATCAAATACACTACCGTTCAAAAGTTTGGGGTCACATTGAAATGTCCTTATTTTTGAAGGAAAAGCAC